ACATGTCTGTGGCCATGATGGAGCCGACAGATACTGAAGATACTGAGACACAGCAGCTCGGAATTGCAGCAGGTCCTGCTCAAACTCTTCAACCTTGTACTGAGAGCCAGGTGTTTCCCTGAGGTGTGCAGTCAAGCACTGATCACCCACATCTATACATTTGGAGACAGGCTTGACCCTTAATACTACCAGGGCACCTGTGTGAACATTAAAATGGGGAAGATATTCTGCAGTATCATGGAAGCCCAAATAATGACCTCCTTTTATAAGTGTCCTCAGTAATAGTGTAGCAGTGTAACAGACTGGCATCCTACCAAACTGCCGCACCCATAACATTTACACCCTGCAAACACTTAAAAACAAACATGTCCACCAAAAAACAAAATTAAAATATTTATCTGCTTTAATAATTAAAAATAGATTCATTTTGGCATGAAGTTTTACAAATGTCTTCACTGTGGAGTAAGAGCTAAAGTCTATGATGTAATTATGGCAAAGGACAGAACATGTACAGAACATGTGCACAGAGAGAAAATCTAAACAAAAGAACAGAATTCTTCACTCAGGCTTGTGGAGTGAGACTGGGCTATAGCCTGAGCCCAACACTGCTCAATATCTATATCAGCTGATGTGCTGGAACAGTCTGCAGCCCTTGGCCTCACACTGCAAACACAGATATCAAATTCCTGCTCCATGCTGATGACCTGGTCCTGCTGTTGCCCACAGAACAGGGGCTACAGCAGAGTCCAGCACTACTGGAGTAGTACTGTCAAACCTGGACATCAACAATCTGAACAAGACAAGAATCATGGTTTTAAAGAAGAAAGACAGATCTCAGGAAAACAGGCCCCACTTTACATTGAAAGCCACACTGGAACACAACCAGCTAAAATACCTTGAGCTGACGATCAGTTCATGAAGGACTTTTCACCTGACAGTGAGGGAGCAGAAGGAGAAGGCGCATAAGGCTTTCCAGATTGTATTGGCTTAATCACCTCTATCACCTCACACACTGAGATAGGATTGTTAAGACTGCTTTTTAAATCAGTAGCAATTGGGGGAACAAGCATCCAGCTAGTAGATATCAACAATGGATTCTGGGGTGAATATAGTAATAGTGTTTAAATCTCTCATTAATATAACTGGGATCTGTGGTGACAGAACTGTTCTCAGCCCAAATCCCAGAAATTAGTTGTGGTGCCCATCACTGCTGCAAGTGGTGTGCCAGACATTTCCCAGAAGACACTATGTTGAGAGAATGTGGAGGGAATTTCATCAAGAGATTTGACTTCATGGGTGCTGAGTATTCAGTTCTCAAATTCAGTTCTCAGCTTTAGATGTTCCTTAAGCCACTGAGGAGTGGGAGTAGCTGAGCATTGTTTAGTAAGTTCCATTTCTCCTTTCTTTTTATTTTTTTTTAGCATTGAGTATAAAATCATCTGACTCACACTGATGCTTTTAGGGTTCCCAAAGAGTGTCTTTAGACTGTCAATTGTATTTTTAATATCTAAGAGGAAAGATCTAGTGATTCACAAATTTAACAAAGTCATTATCTGAAAGCAATAATATTTAATTGCCCCAAGGGTTCAAAGGAGGCTTGTGCTGAGAAATGTTTTTCAGTGATATCTGGAGCGTGGTCAAAGACCACTATAACATTGTATGCCAAATGTATTCATATAGTCTGTGCCTGGTTCACGATACAACATTGGTGACATTCAGAGTGTCGGCTGCCTCTCTGCCTCTCCAGCCCCTCCTCCACACCAACCATCTGAACTGGTTGATGCCTCCCCATGGGTATCCACTCTGGTAGTGACCAGGAGGAAGACAGGAGGCCTGTGAATCTGTGTGGACCTGAACGCAGTGAACAAAGCTGCTATACCAGACAAGCACCCAATCCCCACAGTGGAGGAGCTCACCACACAATTCTTCAGCTTCTTTGTCTTCACAAAATTTACTTCAAGTTAGTCTCCACCCTTACAGCTGGAATCTCAGCTTTCATCATTCACTCTGATGTCCTTGGCTACAGGAGAGCCTTTCATACTAAGCTTCCACCTCAGCTCTTTCCAGAAGATGATGATAATAATAATAATAATAATCATAATAATAATAATAATACCTTACACTTACATAGCACTTTTTATATTGCGACGGCAGCCATAGTGCACCAGTACACTCCCCACACCACAGCTCTCAGTGGGGAGGAGAGCAGAGTGATGAACCCAGTTCAGAGATGGGGGTTATTACGAGGCCATGATGGGTAAGGGCCAATGGCAAATTTGGCCAGAACACTGGGGTTACACCCCTACTCTTTTCAAAAAACACCCTGGGATTTTTTATGACCACAGAGAGTCAGGACCTTGGTTTTACCTCTCATCTGAAGTACAGTACCTTTTTACAGTATAGTGTCCCCATCTCTATACTGGGGCATTAGGACCCACAGAGAATTCAGTGTGAGCACCCCCTACTGGTTTCTTCCAGCAGTAACATTAGCTTTCTCTGGAGGTCTCCCATCCTGGTACTGGCCAGGCTCAAACTTGCTGAGCTACAGTAGGTTGCCAGTTGTGGGTTGCAGGGTGATATAGCTGCTGGCGTGAGAGTTAGAGTCAAACGGTGGTGCTGGGATCTGTTGCTGAGGCAAAGATCTGACAGGAACATTGAAACACTGTTCAGGAACTGTGAATCCTGCCACCTAAGCGGTAAAACATTGGCCCCTGCACCACCTCCTCTCCAGCTGGACATCTGTGGATCCAGCATACCCCATGGCCTAGGATCTGCACACAAAATGGCCAGAAGTGGCCTCCACTGGATCGGTCACTATTGAAGCGGTCACTGACTTCCTGGATTCCCTCTTTGCCCAGTAGGCCATCACCACTGACAATGGGCTGCAGTCTGTGTCTGCTGAGTTTGAGTTTTGGTTGACCGGGGCATACGACACACCTGTAACTTGTAACATTTAATACACTTGTAACTTATTGGTGAATGGGAGGGGTACAGCTAAATCAGACGCTCAAAAATGACATCATGGGCTAATGGCTGAGGGCCACTCCTTCCTTGAGCAGGATCAAGTAGGCACTGACCGGGGTGACAGTGTTTGCTCTTTGTGTTTTGCTTGTTATTTTTTTAACTGAGTTCTCCTTATACATATTAAGGAGCACGCAGCGTCCATTTCCTGCGGAAATCCAGTACAGTAGATGATCCCTCCCACCCCTACCATAAACTCTTTGCCCTCCTACCATCTGGGAAAAGATATCGCAGTGTATGGGCTAGCTCCACCAGACTCTGGAACAGCTTCCCGCAGGCTGTCAGACTCCCCAACACCCTGGAATCTACTGTACTTGCACCCACTCCAATTCCAGAAACAGGGTTTAAATCCCCCAGTGTGTTGTGTATATTGTATTATGTATTTGCCTTCTAAATTGCACTATCTGCATTTTGCAATATATCGTGGACCATGAGGAACAATATTTTGTTCCACTGTATACTTGTATATGGCTGGAATGACAAATGAACTTGAACTTATGTCCCAGTTATTCTTTTGGGGGATTTTAACTTAGCCAAACTGAGGAAGGTTCTCCCCTAGCTATAAAAGCCGTAACTAAAAAAATAAAATACTGCTACTGCTCTATTTCTTGCATATTTCTAGGCATACAGAGCATCAGTATGCACCCTTCTCTGCCATTCATGTCATAATATAATATTTCTTGTCTCAAGATACAAACAGAGATTTAAAGAATGTAAACTAGCCATAAAAACAGTAATCAGCTGAGACTGAGTAAGTGCTGAGGGATTGTTTTGATACCTCAGACTGGAGAATCTTTAAGGAGGCCTGGCGTTATCTTAATAAGCTCACTGACAGTGTATACGTTCCTTGCAAATCAATCAGTGCGTACTGACAATAATCATCCCTGGTTCAACAAGGAAATGAAAACCTTGTGGGAAAACAAGTGTAGTGCTTTCAAAGAAGGAGATGATGCCAACTTCAAGTCAAGTAAATATGAATTCCAACACGTAGTAAAGAGGGCCAAAGGTAAATATATGAACAAATTAGAAAATAAACTAATCAATGACTAATCAATGAGGCATCTAGCAAGGCTTCCAACTGATCATTGACTACAAGGCAAAACAAATTGCTTCAGTTGATGATCCCTTTCTTGCAGATAAACTGAATAAATTATACTACAGGTTCAACACATGAAACAACTTGCAGCGGACTGCTCTAGACAGCCAGTGCACCCCCTCCAGCCACCCTTTATCGTTCAGGAGCATGATGTAAGATGATATTTCTGCATGCAGAACAGCAGGAAAGCATCAGGGCCTGACCTTGTATCAAAAGCTATACCAAAATCTCATGCCACCCAGCTTGTTCCTATGTTAACAGGTATTTTCAATTGATCCCTTAAACAGGCTAAGGTACCACACTGCTTTAAGATGGTTACTAATACCAGTACCAAAGGAATTCACTGTGAGCTGCCTCAATGACTACAGATCAGTATCCTTGACGTCTATTATTATGAAAGTTTTTGAATGACTTATAGCCAACTTCCTGTCTAACATGCATATAGAGCAAACAGGTCAGTGGAGGATGCACTCTCCCTTGCGCTCAATGACTTATTTCTAGATCTAGAAGCAGCCAGATCATCTTTATTGACTGCAGTTCTGCTTTTAACATGATCATACAATTCATACATGAGTTCCCAGAGCTACTGTAGTCACTTAACCAAATATAATTTGATCTTCCTTTATGAAATCAATCTGAAAATACAGACTTTTGCCAATTTACTTAAGCTATCTGGTTGAGTAGAATCACTTTGAGAAACAGACTCCTGTTCATGCTGCTACAGTGAAAAGCACTGCTCTTCAGTTTAAACCGTGTAAATCTGCAAATGTATGTAAATGCTAAAGAACATGATGGTCAGGTAAAGTATAACTCATACTGCAACATGACCTGTCTCATTGAAATTCTCATTATATCAAAGCCCTCTTTTTTCATGTTTTGTCTGTCACACCACTCCTCCTCCTCTTTTCCCCCTTCTCCCACTGTTCTCTTCCAATGTGTGGTCCAGAACAGTAACTACAATCCAGCAGAAAACAGGAAGATAGCACATCATGTAAAGACTCCCCAGCATCTTTAAATGTGAAATAATTCTGTCTGCTAGATCTGTGCTCTTACACTTCTTTCTGATGTACTCTTCCTTCTGCTTGTCTTCAAATCCTTGGACCTCTGTCACCCTGCTGATGAGCTCCGAAGGGATCAGACCTGTTGCAGCCGGTCTGGAAGTGATCCAGACGGAGGCGTCAACAGGAAAGTTACCATTGATGAGATTTATTATCAATATGTCTACTGAAGTTGGCTTTTTCACATCAGACCAGATCTGGTTTCTTGTAAAGTTCAAAGGATGTCTGCTTCCATCCAGACCATCAAAGATGAACAGGACCTTACAACAGTCTAAAATATTAGCAGATGATTTAATTTCTGGGCAGAAACACTGAACAAGTTCCTGTAAACTCATTTCTGATTTGATCGAATTCAATTTACAGAATGGAAGAAAAAAAATAAAATCGAAATCCTGGTTGTCTTTCCCAGTAGCCCAGTCGAGAATGAATTTTTGCACAGAGAATGTTTTCCCGATGCCAGCGACTCCCTTCATCAGTACATTCCTGATGGGTCTGGTCTGTCCTGGCAGTGGCTTGAAAATATCGTTGCACTTGATGGAGCAGATCTCTGATTTTGTGATTTTGGAGACGGTCTCTACCTGCATGACCTCATGTCCATGATTCACCTCAACACAGCTGCCCTCAGTTATCCACACGTGTGTAAAGACGTCATTGAGAAGGGTCTGCTCTCCTGGCTTAGCAATTCCCTCAGCTACAACTTCAAACTTCCTCTTTAGAGCTTCCTTGTGTTTGTCTTTCAGTGTCTGCAGCCACCCTGAAACAGAAAGAACACATGATAGTAAAGACACAGTCTGAGGCTGCAGGAAAAATCCTGGCAGTGTATTGATAGATCTCTTATAGGGACACCAGCTATTGAGGTTTAAATTTGCAAAAGTAAGACACAATCAGAACAGATGGACACAGATAAAGTCCAGTCACAGTTCCAGGCAGCAGCTCCTCATTTTTAATGTCCCTCTGATAGTCATGTTCTGCTCTCTCACAGCCTTACAGACTGTCTTAAGGAGAGTTTCCACACAGGGGATATTACCATTCCTAAGAATGAAGACTAGTTCTGCCCTACTCTAGATATCGGAAAGCTGAGCTGAAATTAATTCGTGATGTTGACAGACCATTGCGGCAAAAGCCAAATGTGTCATAATATTTACTGGAATACACTATTCTTAAAAAAATATTTTAAATATGTATTCATGAATTGATGTGATAATTGAATTTATTGGAACAATTAGAAATTGGTACAGTAAAAGCAATATTTGCACATGGATTAAAAGTACACAATAAATGATTTATTAATACAATAACAGAATGTGCACAGTAAACACACTGCAAGAGTACATATACAGTGTCTATAGAACTCCCTTTAAAAATTGTCAACTTTTGTTGCCTTATAGTTTGGACCTGACATCCTACCTTCAACATCCAAGTGAAAAATATTCTACAACATTTTTAGCAAACAAATAGTAGATAAGAGTCCACCCACTTATAGCAGTGATTCTAAATTAGCTCACATGTACCCAATTACCTTCAGAATCACATGTATTTGATTGATAAAAATAAAGTAACAGTACAGTAACACACAGGAGAAATATAATCAACGATAATGAAATTCAAGAAACAAG